GACTGAATCCATATTGAAGATCAAACACAGAAACCAGCAGTTCCTCAGTAAATGGGAGTTACTCATGTTTTTACAGGAGAGCTACTGTAGTTTTAAATTCTTAAACTTGTGTCTACGTGAAATACTGACGTTGAACTTTACCGTTTTATGACAGATGGTTGCACATGAAGGGATCGTTTAAACCCGTCATAAAAAATGTTTTACAGTGGACACAGTTATTTACAGTGAGTCCACCTCAGTTAGCCGTTTAACGAAGGTGCGTGAAACGACGTTGATTCAATCTGACGCTCAGGACAGATGCTGTGATGAAGGAGTCAAATGTTCGATATGAAGACAAGAGTCCTAACAGAAGAATTTACTGAAGTTTAGTGTTGAAATTAGCTTCAATCATACAGACCTAAAGAAACCAATGTTAGTTTATATTCAATGTCACTGTAAGTGACAAATTTCCATTATTGATCTTTTGCCGGCAATTTGTTCATGGAATTTGTGAGTATGTTCTCGCATGAGGAGCCTTGTTTCCCTTCTTGCAAACAATTTAATGCCACAAACGTTTTTATCTCCATATGTCAGGTTTGACGTGTGCAGTGTGTTTTGCTGTGGAGGGTTGGAGGTTATCTGAGGAGGCATTTCACAGACAGAAGGTTTGCAACCGGTCACAGAGCCACTAAATCCCACTGGTGGAGGGTTGTGTGTGTGTGTGTGTGTGTGTGTGTGTGTGTGCGAACAGCAACTCCTCATAGTCACCTGGTGAAAGTGGCTGCTGTGGTTAGATTGTAAACAGTGACAGGAAGTGTACCAGGAAATGAAAAAGCAGGTTCATCTACATGTGAAATTGTTACCATGAATAAGTTCTATACAGCATCCGTGTGGTATTGATGATTGAACTCCTGTAAAAGAAGTCTGTAGTGAAATGTAATGATGCAAAGACGTAATCCTGCAGCACCACTGCTTCACGCGGCAGACTAACAGCGTCGCTGCTCGTTAGCCTGTGAGCGTTGTTCGATGCCCATCCCTCCAACCTGACACAGTCGTCTCTGCAGAGCATCAGACTCTACGTTGTCCATCTGAAGTTGTTGCGTGGACGTTCGTATCTGCACCCCCCCCCCCTCCTTCAACCAAACCCCCTGAACGTCGTCATGGTAACAGCCCTGTTGCATAACACAGCGGCTGCAGTGTAAAGCCTTGTATTCCCGTCTCCTTGGAAACAGAGCTCGCCCTCCCCTCCCTCCCCGGCGTCCTGTGCACTGAGCATGCTCAGAAAACAATGCAGGAGCTGGAGAAACAGGAAAATCATCTCCGAGCATATACTCATTATGTGACTATGAAAGGAGTTGGGTTCCTATGACTGCGTTATTATTATTATTATTATCATGAGTTGTAATGATTGTAACAGTGATTTGGACATTTCAGATTAAAAATGCTCTCAAAGAGAAATCATCTGATAGAAGTGTGGCCCATTTATCACTCAAATCCCTACAGCTCTGTCTTCTGACAGACATTGGTGTGTTGCATACAACCCTTTAGACAGGATGCAACACGTGTGTGTACCAATTATGGCCGGATGCAACATTTGCACGCTTCTCATCTATGATGTCATCGTGTCCAACAAGTAGCTCAGTCCATAGAGACGTGGCTTGGGAGCCGGAGGGTGGCCGGTTCAACTCCAGCATGGACGGAAGTTGGCACTGCCGAGGTGCCCTTGAGCTGCCCACTGTCACTGTGTGTATTGTTCTCCGCGTGTTCACACGGATGGGTTAAACACAGAGGTCACATTTCCCCATGTTTGCATGTTGCACTCTGTGTGTGAAATACATTGTGATTTGCTAACATGCTTGTGTGTGAAAAACAAAATCCGTGATGGGAAATACAGTTTATGTTCTTAAGAAGTTTTTAAAGCAGCGTTTCAGACGAGGGCTGTTGATCTAAACGAGGGGACGGACATTAATGCAGAGAGCAGAAGTGTTTCAGTCGATGTCAACAACAATAAGAATGAAGACGATTGTGCCAGAGGAGGCAAAGAATCGATCAAAACCCGTGAAGCTTTAGCTTCTGTTTCATAAGCCTCTAGAACCTGAGAGCAACAGTCTCATAAGTGAAAGTCCACCCTTCAGTGATAAGGCTGAGCTGCTCCAGACTGAGTCAAGCGTATAGATACTACACTCAACCCACTGTACTTTGTACTTCCTCAGAAAGCTCCCTCTCTTTCATGCTTGGTCAAACTGACAAGGAACTGTGGGGCTTGCCTCAGCAAACATTGTGAAACGTTGTGCGTGCTAAGATTGTCCTCGTTGGTTCCCCACATGCGAGCGCTTCTGAATTTGCAGGACAACTATTTCTGGAAATTTAAATATATGGCGTTTTAATCCCCACAGTTGCGTAATCGCTGCATGTTTTCACTTATTTTCTGAAGTTCGGTTTAAAACTGGCACGTAATGTAACACAAACACACGTTAGTCGTGTTAAGGTCTTTCAACACATCGAAAGCCCTGAGAATAGTAGGCAGACCGATGACGTCATCAGTAGACACACATGGCTGATGTTTCTTACTGCGTCAGCCTTATTTTTGTTGATCAGATTACCGTTCGTCTACAGTGAGAAAACCCAAATGAGCGTCTCCGTCTCTCCCCGGGTCGTTAGTGAGTTTGAAGAGCGTCCTTCGCTGGACCCTTAGGGTGAAATATTTCGATGTCTGTTCTTTCGCCGACATTAAAACATTTATTTTACAGAATAAACAACAGAGAAACAGAAAACATGTGTATTCACGTTATATTGTTCAGGTGTTGTAAAGACATTGTGCTGTGTGTAGAAACATCGCTGGAGGCCGTACCATTGACTGTATCTGAACAAACAGCACGTCTGTGTGTCAAACCGACTCTGCAGTGGATTTTAGCTTGGAACAAGTAACTCCCTGCATCTCTGTACACGAGGGTATCTGCTGGTGTTGAACAGTAGCACGGAGAACTGTTTCCTCCCACACACACACACACACTCCTCTCGCACAAGTGGAAAGGAAGGTCACTCATATTTCCCTCGCAGAAGGCTGGCACACTTGCGTTTACATTCCGGTCCCTACCCCCCATCACTATAGCAACTCGTTTTCTTATTTCGTCGTACTCTGTGGGTGTTTTTCACTCGGCTCCGTTGTTTGTAATGTGCAGAAATAAAACCACACTTGGCCGGATGTGAACGCTGAATCTTGAGGAAACCATTAATATTGCAAGTTTGCTGTTTGTCACTCTGAAGTGCAGCTCTGTTGGGCAATTCTTGTTTTTTTTTTGCAATTGCACCAAATGGCAGCGAGTTGCAACAGTTTGAGACCAGATGACTTATAAATGCAGAGAATGTTGGAGGCCGGCAGCCGTGGCTTGTGTCTCTTGGCAGTGGCTTGTGAGTTGGACGTAAGTTCTGATGTGTCAGTTCCTGAGCACCAGCCTGACCATCAACATTCCTCACGACAGACTGAACGTCAGTGTGCTTGAATGATTTAGAATTGGATTAGAATTAATCTCCTGTAACCCACACACGTCCAGAACGTCTGTGAATGAATTAGTCACTGCGCTCGATGGCAACACCCCAAGAATCTTTTCATGTGTTCTCCTGAATGTGATACCTCCGGAGCGTCTTCAGGGAAATTTATTTTACTCAGACTTATGGATGACCTGATTTATAATTGGTCAAAACACGATTCTGTCTATAATGTGAGAATGAATTTGTTAATTATGACACAAAGTTTAATTTGATTAAATGATGAATAGCTTCAGTGAACTTCACGGTGTCGTCATTATGTTTTTATTTCTGTCCATCGTTTTTCAACTTGGGAACAGAAGGGAACGTTTTCCTGCCATTTGACTGGTTGGTGGCGACGTCAGACCATGAGCCAGTATTTCTACCTATTCTCATTTTATTGCATTAAAAACAATACTGAGGAGTTTTTTTTTTTCAGGTCTAATGTTGGCAAAATGCTGATGTTAAAATATCTCAGGCATAGCGAGCATGAGAAAGTTAAAACAGCCAGCGAACTAGTGAAATAATCCTGAAACGTATCAGTGGACGTGTCTGTACCTGGACTGTTTTCATTGTGTGGAGGACATGTCTCATCACAGGCAGGGACAAGAGTTTTGAGCGGAAGTGAACATTTAATCCTCTGGGTGTCGACACACTGAGGCAATTAGTCAGACATTTAGAAGAGTAAATCTTTTTGTTAGTTGTTACTGCGTTTTGTTGCATCGTCATCATTCAGTTGTCTTAGTCTCAAAACAAACCGAGGTGAACGAGCTGGAGAACAATTTAACAAACATGTAAACTTAAAGATCCGATGCTCTCGAAGGATTGTAGTGATCCACGAGCATGTTGTCACGCGTTAACGCGAACAAGTGATGGACGGTCATCCTGTAAAAAAAAAAAAGGCCTGCAGGCAACAGCTGGATTAACTGGATTTCCCTGCTTGTCTTTATTTACTTATGCTCAAATAATTATTTCCTGTTTGCGTCTGATCACATGAATGTGTCGCTGGTGTCCAACATGTCTCAGTTACTGGAGTTTAATTCATGTTCGTCCACTTTTTTCATCAAACTCTTGTTTACAAAGTGGGAAAAAAAAACAGGGAATTGACGTTAAATCTCCAGTTTGATGTGAAAGACACAAATGTCCTCAGCTTTTTGTTTCAGCTCATTGACTCTTCTCTGGGTCAGACTGTGTTGTGAGGTCTGACGGACTCAGACATCCCATGCATGCAGATGTGCTTTATTATTTCCTGTACATGTAAAACTTTTCTTTATCGGATTTCAGATGCCAGTATTACAAAATGGAGCAGAGCCGCCTGCGTACATTCATGCATTAGACTTTATATAAAGAAAAACTTGACATTATTGTCTCATCCTTTTCTATAGCAGCGGACACAGATATCACTATTTCTACTTAAAGACAACTGATTTTCACTCGTGTAAAATCCCGATCTTCTGTCCTTCAATCTCGGGGTCTATTTGTTTGTCTTCCAGCTCCGCCTACGACTGGGACAACAAGTTCCGCGTGGCCATTAAGAAGATCAGCCCCTTTGAGCACCAGACGTATTGTCAGCGCACTCTGAGAGAAATCAAGATCCTCCTGCGCTTCAAACACGAGAACATTATCGGGATCAACGACATCATCCGCACGCCGACCATTGACCAGATGAAGGACGTGTATCCTTCTGACTTTTCTCAGCTGAGGTAGTAAGGTCATGTGAATGATGTCATGAAGTACATTCCTCTGGCACGTGTGTAAAGACGTTTCAGTTTTAAGTTTCTAGCAGTGTCTTCTCTTCTCTCCACCACTTACAGAAGAGCAGGGGGCTGTTCACTTGTGTTTTATTACATAATAGCCACCTGTCACCATATATTTGGCAGAGACGCTCTTCACTGTAGCCCAGCAGCAACAGCTAACTGGCTGAGTCCATAATCGTAGTTGGTTTCATCACGTAGTGTCGACATAACGAGGGGTCTAAACATGAATATATCTGCATCTCTGTATGAAAGGCGCCCTAGGGATCTTTTTTTTTTTTTCGTAGCACACATCCACGTGCACCGGTTCGCTCGTGTTCAAGTTCTTTAACGTGGAAATGTGCAGATATATTGTCCAGGATCTCATGGAGACAGACCTGTACAAGCTCCTGAGGACTCAACACCTGAGCAACGACCACATCTGCTACTTCCTCTACCAGATCCTACGTGGGCTCAAGTACATCCACTCTGCCAACGTCCTGCACCGCGACCTGAAGCCTTCCAACCTCCTGCTCAACACCACGTGTGACCTCAAGGTTGTGTCCCATCAGCCACTATTCATTCAAACATCTGCATTCACTACTGGAACATTTGATTTGAAGAGTTGTTATAATAAATATAATAAAACTCACAGTTAATTACAAGTGTGTCCGACCATCGTGTTTAAAGAGGAAATCATGAAAACTGAAACAAACAGGCAGCCGTTTCTCACCCGCCGCTCATCGTGTTGCGACTCGTCTTTCTGCAGATCTGTGATTTTGGCTTGGCTCGCGTGGCTGATCCCGACCACGATCACACTGGTTTCCTCACAGAGTACGTTGCCACTCGTTGGTACCGAGCACCTGAGATCATGCTCAACTCCAAGGTGAGTGTCCTCACCTGCCGTAAAATGTCGGGGAGGGGAGAAAATAGTTTGTTTTACATTATTTCAGTGTTTAAACACGAGAGCAGGGCTTTTTAATTTCAGGTTCACTTATTCTTTCAAGTCCTGATGTAAATAATCTTTTATAGTTCAACAGTTCAGACTACAGGCCTCTTTTGTTGCTGCCCCAGCCAGACCAAAATACTGTTTGAATTCATTGACCTTTAATTTGCTGTTATGAGACTGTGTCTTTGTGCCTCTCACTCTCAGGGCTACACCAAGTCCATAGACATCTGGTCAGTGGGTTGCATCCTGGCTGAGATGTTGTCCAACAGGCCAATCTTTCCTGGAAAACACTACTTGGATCAGCTCAACCACATTTTGGGTAATTATTCTGTTCTGAATCACTGATCGGTGAAGTGTAAACCGGGTTTGCTGTAATGCAGAAGCTTAATAACAAATCTCCAGCAACACTTGGATGTGGGAGAGATATTTATTTATATTATATTGTGCCCACTTCCTTCCTAATTATAGATATAATCATATAACGTCATGTTTTACTGTAGGTTGAGACAAAGGTAGTAGACAGTGGGTTTTGTTCAGCTCCTGACAATATTTTATCATCTTTTCTTTGTCCCTCAGGAATCCTTGGTTCTCCCTCTCAGGAGGATCTCAACTGCATCATCAACATCAAGGCCAGGAACTACCTGTTGTCGCTGCCCTTGCGCTGCAAAGTGCCGTGGAACCGCCTCTTCCCCAACGCTGATCCAAAAGGTCAGAGCGTGGACGACGTCTTCGCACTCAATCGTCCCAGACGTTCATTTAATTACCTCAAATCATCAATTCAGTGTTTCAGCTGCTTTCATTTCGAAGCGCTGGTCCGCATGAAAATGAATGTGGGAAAAAAAATCACTGACATTAACTCCTCCTCTGCTGTTGTGTCATTTGCGCTGCAGCTCTGGACCTGTTGGACAAGATGTTGACCTTTAACCCTCACAATAGGATCGAGGTAGAGGAGGCCCTGGCTCATCCTTACCTGGAGCAATACTACGACCCCACAGATGAGGTGAGACGAGTTCATGTCCGAAAACCTCTTCATCCTGGGAATCCCATATTCGTCCACATCTGTCTTGATAACTCTGACCAGTTACGTCTCTGTCGTCCTGCCGTAGCCCGTCGCTGAGGCTCCGTTCAAGTTTGACATGGAGCTGGACGATCTACCCAAAGAGAAGCTGAAGGAGCTCATCTTTGAAGAGACTGCACGTTTCCAGACCGCCTTCAGATCCTAACATCTCACACAGGTCAGTCCACGTCGGTGCCGTCAGCGGTCTAGAACCTGAGGAAACATAAACCCAGAGAGAGCTCAGAACTAACAGACCAGGTTTTCAAGGTGTATAAGATGAAGGACACTCCACCTCCGCTGGGGGTGGAGTGTCCTTCATGAAAACCACTTAACGCAGTGATGTCCCACATCAGCTCCAAACTCTGTTAAATTTAACAACTGACCACTTACGAGCTGAAGTTTAGATCTCACGCTGAACTCTGTGGAGCAGAGGGTCAGACCGCTTCTGTCTGAGCTGCTGCTTTAAACAATCGACACAGAGTCGATTTCACTTCATCACTGTGGAAGCAAAACCTGAGAACTTCCTACATTTGTGCCTTTAAATCTAAATAAATCTAAAGAACATGGTTTACATGCTTCAACCCATTTTCACCTGATGCGTCTGTACGATGTTCCCGCTGACCGAGGCTCCGTCAGTAAAGCCGAGTTCACGCTCCAAGATTTTCAGCCTGATTTCGCCGACTAAAGCCTCAGATCGCCGCTCGGATGCGTCCCAGACTCAAATTTCCAGCCAATCAGAGCGTAGGACGGAGTGAAGGTGGTCATGGTAGGTGTAGTAACATTATTATGACATTATTTTGCACTGGGCATGTCGGCCTCTAATGAGGCAGTGCTGGAAACGACAGTTATCCACACGCAGCTCCTGGAGAAGACGGTGAAACTCCCTGAGCTGCGTGCGCCTTCACTCAGTATTCCACCTCTCTCGCAGCAGAACACGAGTAACGCAATGCGAGACTTCCCTTTGAGTTCGACGCGCCTCAGGTCCTAATGGGTTAAAGACCATGACAGGAACGTTTGAAGGATGGAGATGTGATGTGAAGACACGTGAAGAATAGATTTGTTCAGTCATGTTTTATTGTTTCACTTCAAATCCGTCACTGTTTCTTCTCCCTCCAGATTTCTGTGGACTGGCCTCTGCGTTGCCACTGCTCCTCCCTGCCTCCACTCTGTTGCTGTGATACATATATATATGTGTGTGTGTATATATATATATATATACACACACACATATATATATATATATATAAT